CCTGCAACCGTTCTTCATATGTTTTAGTCTCCAGTCCCCTAATCATCTTTGTTGCTCTTCTCTGCATTCTTTCTAGAGTCTCCACATCTTTTTTCTACATTGTGGTGACCAAAACTGGATGCAGTATTCCAAGGATGGCCTCACCAAGGCGTTATAAATTAAGGTATTATCACTTCAGGATTGACCTATTTCGAATGTAGACATTTTAAAAAGAAAGAACTTACCTAGAAGTAATTTTGGAAAATTTGATGTCTCAATATTGTGGTAATAGACTATGGAAGTTGTAGCTGCTACAAAACCCATTATAGCTGGCAGGAAGAGGTGCAGATGGCAGGTCGGCAATTTTCTGTAAAGGAACCAAGGTTGATGTCAGAGTTCGGGCTGTATTTCAATGAAGAGATGCTCAAGACATAGCAATAGCACTTAGACTTATATACCACTTCACAGTGCTTTACATCCCTTTCTAAGAGGATACAGAGTCAGCCCCCAACAATTTGGATCCTCATTTTGCCCACCTCGGAAGGATGGAAGGATGAGTCAACCTTAAGCCTGGGTGGGATTTGAACTGCGGCAGTCAGCAGAAGTAGCCTGCAGTACCGCACTCTAACCACTGCGCCACCAAGGCTCAATGGACTTTAAACTCAGCAGTATTTTATTCAAGACTAACCTCTATACAACTTATTCCAAAGGTTAGTGAACATTCAAAGTTACAATGCCACTGAAAAAAAATGATGTATGACCATTTTTCACACTTATGACCATCGTAGCATCCCCGTGGTCACGTGATCCAAATTCACACGCTTGGCAATTGACTCATATTTATGATGGTTGCAAAGATTGAAGTCCAGCCCACCTTGAATTCCATTGAATTTTATCTACCGCCAATTTGCTTCGACCGTTAGTAGTTCAGATTCTTATAGAGAACTTGAGCTTGCAACAAACCCTCATATTCATTTGAATACCCGCGATTTCCGCTACCGGTTCTGCCGAATTGCTCCGAACCGGCTGAATACCACCTCTGGTATGAAGCCTTTTTGCCTTTGAATTTAAAATCCATTAAATGTGAGACCAAGTATTTTTGGAAAGTGCTTTTGAATGGATAAAGTAGCCCCATGGGAAAGGTTAATGGCTAATGTGAGCCCCACCATTAGCCAGGTTTTGGGTCTCCTTCCGCAACACTTACGAATCCGAAACAATGCCCTCGCCGATTTCACACACATGGACAAAAAGGAGAGTGAACGTCAGAATCCATCGCAGGTTGTGCCCAGGGAAGTGTAGCCATGTGTTGTGATGGATCTGGACTTTGGAGCTTTGGCTTCCCCATCCTAAAATAAAGGCACCAGTTAGAGAGTCGTAGAAAGTCTGGGCACAAAGCAGAAGAGTTAAATAAGAGATGCGTATCTCAGTTGTAGGTTGGTATAAGAGCTAGTTAGGTCTAGTGGTTAAGGCAGCAGGCTAGAAACCAGGAGGCCGTGAGTTCTAGTCCTGCCTTAGCCATGAAAGCTGGCTGGCTGACTTTGGCCCAATCACCAGGTGTTCTGTCTGGAAGGAGGGAGGAGGGAGAAAGGGAAGGAAGGGAAGGAAGGATAAAAAACAGAGAGAGATAGGTAGAGGGAAGGAAGGAAGGAAGGAAAGAAGGAAGGAAAGAAAAGGAGGAAAGGAGGAAGGATAAAAAGCAGAGAGGGAGAGGGAGAGGGAAGGAAGGAAAGAAAAGAAAGGAGGGAGGAAGGGAAGGAAGGAAGGATGAAAAGCAGAGAGAGAGGGAGAGGGAAGGAAGGAAGGAAAGAAAAGGGGATGGAAGGTGGGAGGGAGGGAGGAAGAAAGGAAGGAAGAAGGGAGGGAGGGAGGGAAGGAAGGATGGAAAAGAAAAGTAGGGAGGGAGGGAGGAAGAAAGGAACGTTCATTGGTTTATTTATTTTTTATAAGGCCTAAAATATGCAAACTGAAAAACGACTGGAAAAAGCCGATTGTGGCATTCCTTACCAATAAACAAGATAGGAAAAGTGATGAACAAGAGGAACACATGAGGCACCAAATTGAGGGCATCCAGGAAACAGACATTTCTGACGAATCCCTCGCTCATGTTATAAGCAGAAATGTTGTCATTGCCACAAAATGAAATATTCATGGCTGCCTCTGGAACAAGGGCACAGCTGCAGAGCAAAACAGAGCAAAACTTCACAAATACAATCAGAGAAAGATTCACAGTGAAATCACTCCCGGGGCGCAGTGTTGTATTTTACTTTGTATCTGATGCCTAGACACCCCCTATTTCCTTCCAGTTACTCAAGAGAGCGTTCTGAGTACAGGTAAGGCCCTGACTAATGACGCCAACGAAGTCCAAAATTTCTGTTGCTGAGCGAGACAATTATTAAGCGAGCTTTGCCCCATTCCACGACCTTTCTTGCCAGAGTTGTTGAGCGAATCACTGCGCTGGTTCATTTAGCAACACGGTTGTTAAGTGAATCTGGCTTTGCTTGTCAGAAGGTCGCAAAAGGGGATCATATGACCCCAGGAAACTGCAACTGTCATAAATACGAGCCAGTTCCCAAGAGTCTGAATTTTGATCGCCTGATGCTGCAGCGCAGTGGTCATAAGCGTGAAGAACGGACCCGAGCCACAATTTTCAGTGCCATTGTAACTTCAAACGGTCACTAACTGAATGGATGTAAGACTATCTGTACTCGTCTTCCTGTTCTGTAAGGTAGAAGAGGCCGAGTGACACCGGTAATCCTCAATTTACGAATGGTCATTTAGCAACTGTTCAACGTTGCAATTAAATCCCCCGAAAAGCACTTACCACCCAATTCCAAAGTTCCAAAAGCTGAGCTTCAGCCCTCCCCTCTCCATCCAAGTGACCACATTTCGGGTAACTGGACTTGATCGCTGACCCCTATTTATGGTTATTTGCAGTCATCCATGGTCAAACGTCCACAATTTATAATGTTTTTGATGGAAACCATTTGTCAGGCCTGCAGCCATATTTTCTCGTGGATCTCAGGCCTGCCACACTTTCTATTATTCGACTATGCCTTTTCAGTTGTGGGAAAATGGGAGCAGGGGGGATTGTACGGAGTTAGATGATATGTAGCCATAACAACATTCTTTCTGGAAAGCCAAGGTCATCCTTCGTCTCTGCATCTCTNTGAAAAGGCAGAATATTATATTTCCCTGGATCAGAAAGGGAGGAACATGTTTTTTAGGCAGGAAAGAGACTCACTCTTAATAGCCCCCACCTTTGTCAATGGGCCATTAAAATCCTTGGGCCAGTCTATTCTACATAACAAAGACCTCCCCCTTCAGCTCCAGGGTGATGGGATTAAGGCATGATAGAATTAGCCCTTTGCCATCTCACCCCAGGGCACCTGGGAAGAAGGCAATCTTCAACCAAACTTGGGCCTGCATGGCCCCCATGAGAGTCTAATTAGAATACAAGCTCAAGATCAAAGGCCAGAGAGGCCATAAAGGCAGGAATTTTCAGCATCTCGCTCTCTTTTTCTTCTTCACCCAACATCTGGAAGCATCTGATCCTTCTTTTCTGTTCAGGAGCTCACGCCATGCGATCCTGACCACCATTAAACCATCTTTCCAAGCAGCCTCCATGTCTCCAGTGTCTTTTTCCCCACTTGGAGGTGAACCCAGATGGAAATTTCTTCCAACCACTAGAATATTTCATTAGTGGGTGCTAATTTCCTACAAAATATTGCATGATTTGTTTTTCTTGCAGCCCAAGATATCGGCTGCAGTTTTCTCCAGGAGAGGAGTGTCTAAAAAAAATCCAGCTTTTAGGTTCTGAATCCACCTGTGAAACGCCTCTGTGCCATTTTTCTACTGGCTGAAGAAATTTCGGGGATGCTTCTCCTTCCAGCCCATTCGACCAGGCACTTCCCAGACTATTTGTGTTTATTTATTTTATTTTATTTAGTTTGCCACTCCTGTACAAGATCACAGGAATAAGTTATCTTGTGAAATATGTTGGACTCCAACACCCATCACACTCAGCCAGCACGTGGGATTCGCAGTCCATCGCATCTGGAGAGGAACGGCTTCATGTCCAACAGAGACCCACTTTAGATTCAGCCATCTATCCATTGAACTACGTTTCCCGGCATCCCACTGGAAGGGCTTTTACTCCCCATCGGCCAACGAAACACCTCCATTTCCAAGCCGCCGCAGAAACAGCGCCCTCTGCCGCCTCAGAAGACTTGAAGCAGGCGGGGCGGGGACGTTAAAATATCCGTGCCTTAAAAAAAAAAACTCCACCTCCCAGCATTCCTCGGGCAGGCGTGGCGAGGGCGGCTGCGCGGGGGAGAGGGGCTGGGCTGAAGCGTGGGAGGGCGGCTGCGCGAGGGGAGGGGAGGGGCTTAAACGTGGCAGGGCGGATTATGTCCATTCTGTCAGCAAACCATGGCTGCGACAGTTGTTGGGGATCCTCCTTCGCTCGCTGTCGCCTCTTCCCGGCCGTCGGGGGATGCCGACTCGGGGTCCCCTCACATAGCGGCGCTGATCCTGGCTCGAGGCGGCAGCAAAGGGATCCCGCTGAAGAACATTAAGCTCTTGGCTGGCGTCCCGCTGATTGGCTGGGTATTGAGGGCAGCCCTGGACTCCGGCGCCTTCCAGAGGTCTGCGCATGCGCGAATGTCAACGTTCTTTCTCCCACTCCCGTTTTTTTTTTTTTAATGAAACGACAGTTCTTTTGTCTGCAACAGAAACTTCCGGCTTGCAATGCGATTCCTTAAGGAATTTCGTGCAATTTCATGATCAAAGCGTAACACAGGGCTTAATTGTCGTTATTAGAAAGCACGCGCTCTCAGAATCAGTAAAATCTAGGATGGGCTTTTGGGTGGGGTGGCTTTTTAAATATATCTTGCAAAAGTTTCCAGCAGGTGTGGGTCTAGAGATATATTGTTAATTTCATAGCATGGTGCAAATTGCTTATTTGTACCCTATGACTATCATTAAATGCTGGACCTTATGATTCTTGACGAATGTATCTTGTCTTTTTATGTACACTGAGAGCAAACGTACCAAAGACAAATTCCTTGTGTGTCCAGTCACACTTGGCCAATAAAGAATCCTATTCTCTTCTACTCTNATTGGGTTTCTGTCGTGATGGACTCTTGTGACGAGCCGATTGACAGATGATGGAAGCAGTTAGCTTCCTCCCATAATTGGGGCTTACCAGGGGTTGTGACTCTAAATATGTATGTATGTATGTATGTATGTATGTATGTATGTATGTATGTATATGTATATGTATATGTATATGTATAATGTATAATGTATATGTACATGTACATCTCTATCTCTATCTATCTATCTATCTATCTATCTATCTATCTATCTATCTATCTATCTATCTATCTATCTATCTCTCTATACACACACACACACACACACACACACACACACAAACACACAAACACACAGCATATTTAGCTGCAAACTGTTATTGCTCTCATTTCTACCGTGTTTCCCCGAAAATAAGACAGGATCTTAATTTCTTTTGATCCCTGAAATAAGCACTTCGCCTTGTTATGGGGGAGGTCCAGTGGTGGGTTTCAAAAAAATTTGGAACCTCTTCTGTAGGTGTGGCCTGCTTTCCGGGTCCACTAGTGGAACCTCTTCTAACGAACCGGTTCTACCGAACTGGTGCGAACTGGTAGGAACCCACCTCTGGGGAGGTCTTATTATTTTTGAGGTGGAAGGGGCGGCAAGCGTGGTCACCTCATGTCTGCTGCTGTGTTGCAATATTTTGGGGGAGGGCTTATTTTCAGGGGAGGGCTTATTTCAGCGCATGCGCTCAAAAACCCAATTGGGGTTTATTATCAGGAGAGGTCTTATTTTCAGGAAACAGCGTACCATTACTGTAGCAGCTGTTTTGAGAAAAATATGCAATGACACCATTTATTAGATTAGGGAAGTGTTACGTTCACATCATGTACTGAATATAAGCTCGCCGGCCACAATTTAGCCAAGCGTATTGTGCGAATCTAGGGAAACTAATTATTCTATAGTTGTTTTGTCACACAAACCCAGAAAAGTGGCTTTGGAAGACAATGGTTCAATTTACCAAGGGAAAATACAAGCAGTGGTGGGATTCAGCCGGTTCGCACCACTTCGGGAGAACCGGTTGTTAGGTTTCTGAGCAGTTTGGTGAACCGGTTGTTGGAAGAAATTATTTATTATTATTAGGGCAGAGAACCAGTTGTTACATTATTTGAATCCCACCACTGAATACAAGCCCATCGTGAATGAATTCTTCTACGCTAGCCACACTCCAGGTTTTTGTGCCATTTTTTATTTCCTTAGAGATTGGTTGTTATTTAGTTGCTCTGTTGCTTCCGACATCTCATGATAGACTGATAAACACCATTTGGTCAGAAATGTTTTCCAGCAATTTTTTCTAAGAGTAAGAAATAATTTCTTCATAATTTCTCTTGTAAGCCTCTGCTCTGTCATCAGTGTATCCTCTTGTTTTATCAGTCTGTGTTTGTTATTGTCTTGGATTCTTCCAAACATGAGAATCTTCTTCAATACCTACTTATTATTTGTCCATAATATCTACATTTTAATTTTGGTTTTTAGCACTTCCTGCCAGGTTTGTTTTCGGATTATATGTCCATCAATGTTGCCAGCTGGTTTCCAGTGCTGGTCTTTGTTGGTGCCAGGCACTGGGAAATGGCCTGAAAAAGCCCCCCCCCCCCAAAACCCCGGCCAAAAATCAGACCATTTTTAAGGCCATTTTAAGGCCATTTTTCAGGCTTGAAAAACAGCCTGAAAATGGGCCCAGAAATGGCCTGAAAATGGCAAAAAAAAACAGGCATGCATGCACCAGCTAGCTGATTTTTGGATTTCCAGCGCTTCGGCGCACACATGCATGTGTGTTCTGGTTTGGGCCCTCGGTGCTGAAAAGGTTCACCATCACTGTCCTAGTGTAGGAAGTTAGCACCCACACCTCTCCTAGAAAAATGAAATATCCTGGGAAATATTGAAAAGGCAGAATATTATATTTCCCTGGATCAGAAAGGGAGGAACATGTTTTTTAGGCAGGAAAGAGACTCACTCTTAATAGCCCCCACCTTTGTCAATGGGCCATTAAAATCCTTGGGCCAGTCTATTCTACATAACAAAGACCTCCCCCTTCAGCTCCAGGGTGATGGGATTAAGGCATGATAGAATTAGCCCTTTGCCATCTCACCCCAGGGCACCTGGGAAGAAGGCAATCTTCAACCAAACTTGGGCCTGCATGGCCCCCATGAGAGTCTAATTANACAAGTCACGGGAGCTCACTCCGTTATGCAATGCTAAGGATTCGAACCGCCGAACTGCGGGACCTTTCTGATCGACAAGCTCAGCATCTTAGCCCCCGAGCCACCGCGTCCCACTCAATGAATTTACAGTTCTACAAAACCATTGTAATCTCAACATGAGGCAAAATATTGTCCATTACTGAGCAATGCACAAAAGATTTCCTTGAGAGTAGACTTACGCACACCAAGGAGAAGATTCAAAACTATGCACTTTATCTAAGGTGCCCTCAACCAGGGTGGGAACAAGACCCCATAAATGTGTTTGTGAAAGCCCAATGGGAAAAACTAATACTTCTATTGAGGTTAGAGTTGAGCAAAATAAGGAGGGAGGAAGGGATTCTTTTTTCCAATAATTAAATCTGAAAGAGGTCATGACTAAGCTTGGCACGCTTACAATAACCATCCACTGTCCTTTGAAGTAAAGAGCAAAACCTGGATCAAAAATTGACAGTTTCCAATCCATTGGGTGAAATTGTTTCGAGCATTTTCTTTTTTAAAATTGTCCTCTAGGTTGCTCACAATCCTCTGGGATAGCTTGACCCACAATTTGAGAACTCTGCCTTAATATACCATGGAAGCCCAGCCCATTGTGGCTCATCCAATAAGCCATGGTTAAGAGAAGCATGGCTTAACCCATTGTAGTAAATGAAATGTGTGCCATGTTAAAACTTTGTTAAACCGTCTGCTTTAACCGCATGGGTTTTGCTCGATAAAAGCTCTAAACTCTTTTGCAACCACCCCATAATTATCAAATAAAAACAAAAGAGTTGAATTCATATTTCTGAATAACCTAGTGACAAATTAAAGACTGTATTCTCATATACACTTAAGGAAGAAAATATAACGTAGCATAATAGAAATTATTTTTATGGAAAGATCCCTGCACAGTTAAAATTTTATAACAGATACATATCTTGACTTTGATATATCAGCACTTCCTTATTTAATTTCCTGATGTCAATGGTTTCTTTTGTCCTCTATACTTTCTTGGGGCCACCTTTCCAAAACCCTCCTTATCTGTGGCAGCTTAAGTAATATTTCACAGCTTAATGAGACATTTCCTAGCTAAAACAATTCCATATATTTGTTGTTGTGAGCCATTCAGAGTGGTTTATTTTGGGTGGCCCTATCAATCTTTTAAACAAATCAAATCAATAAAGGTTACATTCCACTTGCTCTTTTTATTGTTTCTTTTTAAATAAAAAAAACTTTATGTGGATTATTTATATTTGAAAGTTCTCCACAATATTCCAAGCGTAAGTATGATAAACTATTTTTATCTGTTCCACCATAAAAAGTATTTAGAATTTACTTGCAATGGATTGGAAAGCTGAGCTGAATATTTGTTTGTTTGTTTGTTTATTAAATTTATTTGCCACCTATCTAGCCCAGGCGTCTTACAGCAATAAAAAGGAAGGAATGAAAAGTGTGTAAATGGAACAGAAGATAATAGAAGGAAAAAAACAAACACAGAAAAAGAACATAGTGAAAATACACCAATATGATATACACTAATTATACCGGTAATCAAGTGGACAATTTATTCTTTTCTCACACATTTTTCTGCTGCTCGGATCATGTTCCTCAGGCATAAATGACAGAGATCATGATCCTGGCCCAAAAGAGGGTTTTCCCCCCCTTATTCTGCCATGATAGAGAGAGGTTAAATACGTATCAAAGACATTTCATGGCATTACAATCCTATCAGTAAATATTGAGGAGTATCTCAATGAGCTGTTACTTTGACGTAAACATATTTAAGATTTGCTGTAGTTTCTCTGACAGGTCTGTGCTGCATGCATGTACGCTGAAGCACCCAAATACACACATAAACACAGACAGAAACAAAGTACACATTAGTAAAGGAATTGCTCCGAAAAATAATAATAATACAGACTCATATTAATATCTTGCTTAGGGGTACAGTAGCTTTAATCTGAAAAGAAACTCTTTCTTAGTCCGTTTCTACTTTTCCAAAGTTACTTGCACAGTCCTTCATGCTTTGATAATATACCGCCTTCTGATTTTACAGTATATCAGAACTTGACATGCCAAGAGAGATAATTTAGGATGGTTACTTGGTAGATCAAGGGGAAGAAGGAGAAGGAGAAGGAGAAGGAGAAGGAGAAGGAGAAGGAGAAGGAGAAGGAGAAGGAGAAGG